CTGTTCGGAAAGCCCCCGAAGATGACCCGTGTGGTGGAGAGCCGCAAGCTGGATCTCCCGGCGTTCGATACCACGTTGGAGAGCTACCTTGCGGAGATTCCGAAGGAGGTCCTCATCCAGGAGGCTGTCGACCGCGTGCTGCATCTGCCGAGTGTGGGGTCGAAGAGCTTCTTGATTACCATTGGGGATAGGACGGTTACGGGTCTGATTACGAGGGACCAGATGGTCGGGCCGTGGCAGGTGCCGGTTGCGGATGTTGCGGTCACGGCGACGGCGCTCGAGGAGGGCGTCAAGACGGGTGAATCGATGGCTATGGGCGAGAAGCCGACGCTGGCGCTAATCTCGCCGGCGGCGTCCGCGAAGATGGCGGTCGCAGAGTCGCTCATGAACTTGGCGGCTTCCGACATCCAGGGCGGGCTCCCGAGAGTGCGCTTGTCAGCCAACTGGATGGCGGCTGGGAACCACGCCGGTGAGGGGGCGGCGCTGTATGAGGCCGTTGAAGCAATTGGTATGGACCTCTGCCCGAAGCTGGGTGTCAGTATTCCTGTCGGGAAGGACTCAATGAGCATGAAGATGAAGTGGACCGAGCGCGAGACCAGCGCATCGAAGGAGGTGACGGCGCCAATCAGTTTGGTGGTTACGGCCTTTGCGGCCGTCGGCGATGTCAGCAAGACGTGGACACCGCAGTTGAAGCGTGTCAGTGAGATTGGCGAAAGTAAGCTTGTGCTGGTTGACCTGGCTGGTGGGAAGATGGCGATGGGCGGAAGCGCCGTTGCGCAGGTCTTTGGACAGGTTGGGAACGAGGCGCCGGATGTCAGGGACGTCGAGGTGTTCAAGGGCTTCTTCGAGGCCTGCGCGGAGGCCCGCGCGAAGGGTATTGTGCACGCCTACCACGACCGCAGCGACGGTGGTCTGTTCACGACGATTGTCGAGATGGCCTTCGCCGGCCGTGTCGGTGTCGATGTCGAGCTGAAGGATGCTGCGCGCAACGGCGAGACAAGCGGCGTGCTCGAGGCCTTCTTCAACGAGGAGCTCGGCGCTGTCTTCCAGGTTAAGGACGCGGACGTGGCGGCCTTCACACAGATCTTTGCGGCGAGGGGCGTCAAGGACGTCAAGGTCCTCGGGCCCGTCAAGCAGGCCAATGACCAGAAGATCACCTTCACATACAACGCCGCCCCCGTGTACGAGGCCTCCCGCGGCACACTGCAGCAGAAGTGGGCGGCCACTTCCCACATCATGCAGCGCATCCGCGACAACCCGACCTGCGCAGACCAGGAGTATGAGGCCATCCTCGACGATGCCGACCCGGGTCTTAGCTACAACCTCACCTTCAACCCCAGCGCCCCGCTGTTTGCAACCGTCCCGAGTGCGAAGCCCCGCGTGGCGATTCTCAGAGAGCAGGGTGTCAACGGCCATGCGGAGATGGCGTTCGCGTTTAGACTGGCGGGATTTACCCCAGTGGACGTGCACATGACGGACATCATCGATCGCGGCCTCACGCTCGACAGCTTCGTGGGTATTGCGGCGTGCGGTGGGTTCTCGTACGGTGACGTCCTTGGCGCCGGTGCCGGGTGGGCCAAGTCCGTACTGCTCCACCAGGGCGCGAGAACCGTGTTTGAGAAGTTCTTTAATAAGCGGACTGACACGTTCGCGCTGGGGGTGTGCAACGGGTGCCAGTTCCTCAGCAGGCTCAAGGGGATCATTGACGGTACGGAGAACTGGCCCGTGTTTGAGAGGAACAGGAGTGAGCAGTATGAGGCCCGCTTGTGCATGGTGGAGGTCCAGGACGCGGCGGACGAGAAGAACCCGAGCGTGTTCTTGGATGGGATGTCTGGGTCGTCGTTCCCGATTGCGGTCGCGCATGGGGAGGGGAGAGCGACGTTTAAGAGTCAGGAGCACCTGCAGAGACTGCAGGCGCAGGGAGGCGCCGTGGTTAGGTATGTGGATGGGAGGGGCAGGCCGACGGAGGTGTATCCTGCGAATCCGAACGGGTCGCCGGAGGGTATTGCGGGTGTCAGGAGTGCGAATGGAAGGGTGTTGGCGATGATGCCGCATCCCGAGAGGACGGTGGTGAGGGAGAGTGTTAGTTACTTGCCGGAGAGGGCGAGGGAGGAGGCGTGGGAGGTGGGCCCGTGGGTTAGGCTGTTTAGGAGCGCGAGGAGGTGGGTTGGTTAGGGAGATGGCTGTAGATAGGGAAAATTTGCTTTTTGTTTTGTTTTAGTAAGTGCTTTGGGTTGTGGATAAATGAATAGCTTTTTTTGTTGTTGGTTTTTTTTGTGTAGTTGCTTGGTTAGATATTAGGAATAAAACATACTGCAGGGATGTTGAGTGCGAGTGATGACTTGTGATGCGGTTTCTGGGGGATGTGTAATGATGTTACCGGTGCGTGCGGACGTCTGCAGATTGACGCCCATCCGTCCATCTGCAGATCGCTTCATCTCTGTGGCAGTCGGTAGAGCATGACGTGTGTGAGTGTAGCGGAGGGAAGGGAAAGAGGCATCCCGTAGGATCGGTATGCGGCCAAACCATAATCTAGTAAATAAGGTTTGTCGTATCCTAGGCGGCTTGTAAGTTTTGGCCATCGATGTAGCCGGGCTCTGCCACGTCTTTGTCTTTTGATGTGGGGAAACTTTAGTTTTACGCTACGAGCCTACCCATTCCATATCGCTTTTGCTGGGTTAAGGTTTGTTGATGTCGACGCCTAGCCTCTTTGACGGTTACCTCTTTGGGCCCCGCCATATTATGGGGCTGGGAGGGCTTTTTTTCTTCTATTGTACTTCTTGGAGGGATGCTCTTTTTGGCTTCTATGAAGATCAGGCTTTGGACGTATTCTGAAGTCTATAATAACACATGATGCAAAAATGACACCCCCTTCCTCCTCTAGCTATAGAGAAATCAAAATCAAAATAGCCTCCTAATTTATTCTACTACAAAAAAAGAAAAAAAGAAACAAAAAGTACTGCAGCGACTTATTGATTAATGTGCGCTACTACTCCCACCCCCGGTTTGAACTCGGGACCTTGCCCAAACACTCGGTGTCTAACCCGACGAGCAGTCTAGCCACTAGACCACTCGCCCATGGTGGATGCTGGGCTGGAAGTGATCATTGAGCTTGGCGGTGTGCCAAGATGAAGTAGAACCATAGGCCTTCGATGTGAATGCTCAGCCACCCATAATACCTTTCATTTTGGATCATAGCGAACTGTGTCATCTTGCATCATGTGTTATTGTAGAGCACGTCTACCAAAAACTGTGTCATTTTAGAATAAGACCATGGCGAGACAATAATTCATATAAGCTACAACTCCACAGAGGGGTTTTACCACCAACTTCCGCAAGTCATTTGAAGTATCAAGATGAGTACCAAGTCAGAATTTGCCTGTTCTATCAAACAGATTCAAATACTTTGTCTATGATTATGATTTGGTTCGGTCATCTTCGAACGGTCTTGAAGCGGCTCGGAAATTCAGAATTTTTAACCCCTACCGAATCCAGAAGCTCTAAGGACTATATTTATTAATCATCTTTTCTAGATATGTACAGGAAGAACCCATACTCAGGATCCCAATGAACTCCCTGAGATGGTGATCTGCAGGCCCCAAGACCTCCTAACTACCCAGTAGGTACTCTCGGTGGTAAAACCATCAATCCACTCGCAAAAAAAACAGGAGCTTTACCACTAGAAGGGCCTACTGGGCTAGACAGAAAGTCCAGGATCTATATTCCACACCAACTAACCAAAAATATAACCAATATACAGCCAGCAAATTTTAAACCGAAAAGAAACTCAAAGTTTCGAGGCTATCCTCGCCCCAAAACTTCCCTTGCCTCACTCTTGCCCAGATCCGATCCCAGTCGCAGACATAGCACCCTTGGCACCCCCGCTTGAACACATCTTCTTTAGAGGTCGGGACCGACCAGGCACACGTATTAAAACACGTAAGTACGAGTATTGCTACGAGTGCGTAGCGGAGTGCACAAGCTATATCTACCAATCAGCACGGCTGCGGTAGGTACAAAGATATACATAGATATAGAGAAGTACGTACTTATCTCAAGAAAAAGTTTAACGACGTAATAATGACTTCCGTTCAGCGAGCCACAGCAACTATCGAAGATGGATACGGTTATAAGTCTTGCAACGTAATCCATGATAAGGGTTTCTGTGTGCGATTGTTGGGCGGGGATGGAGGTATCTAGAGTCTGAAGCGAGATTGGACTGTTGTTATATTTGGGAGTTTATAGTTATATTTAGGCGGTTTCGTCTGATGTAATAGTTAATACTACCGCGGGGACAGTAGCAGTTCTAAATATATTGTGATGATGCGGGTATTTGTGGCATGAGAGATCACTCGGGTCTTGGCGTTTGGCGTTTGGCATTGTGGTTTTGATGGCTGCCAAGCAGGTGAAACAATTGCGGTGACAGATTGTGCCATTAAAAGATCGCGCTGTTCTCGAAAATGGACTGGATTGAGTCTGTCTTTTTGTATCGAAACAGGAATTCAGTACAGATCTAATCATGGGGAGCGAGGGTGTCTGTCACGTTGTTCGTGGGCTCGGATAAAGCCACATCTCTTCCAAGAGGCGTGGAAACGTATGCAGTTATTGATCTGGGGATTATTATTTATTCAGCTGCAGTTAATCTCTCAATGAAGCACGCCCATTGTCCAGCGATTGAAGTCTTCATTGTACTTATCGCCATGGCACACCACGCGCAATCACGCGATCTCACTCGCCCATCCTCTGTGGCGGACCCCACCCGCACCGCCACACCCCTGCCAGAATATTCACCACCCAACGCGCATCACCCACAGAAAAACCCCAACCGCAGCACCAACCACCCTTCGCAAAGCCCGAAAACGAAACAAACCCGCCCACCCACCGAATCAGCGGCCGTCCTCCCCCTTCCCTCCTCCACCTCCACACACGAACGCGTTGCGAAGAAAGCACCAAAGGAAGGAACGAAGGCAAAGAACATAACCCCCTCCCCCCCACGCGTCATGGTCACTGTGCGAAACCCGACGCCAAAGCTCAGCGATGAGCTCTTCCGCGCCATGCAGACCGTCCTGGACGCCCTCTTCAACCAGCGGGACCCTGCAGAGTTCGTATTACCATTCACCCCTTCCACCACCCCCTCACTCTTCCTCTGGCGCGATCGATTGAGCGAGAGGTCGTGACGGCTGAACTGACAATTGGGTTGGGTGTGGTTTAGTAGCGAGCGCGATCTCTCGGAGGCGTTCCACGATCTGCTGCCGAAGCGGCAGTTTGTGGATTATTATAAGCTCATAAAGCACCCCCAGGCGCTGAACCCGGTGCAGCTGAATGTCAAGAGGAAGACGTACACGGTGTTTGCCGACTTTGTGAAGGATTGCGCGCAGGTGTGTGGGCGGATTTTTATTTTTCCTTGAACTATTCTCCCCGACCCGACCTTACCCCTCGGAAATACCTCCTGGGAGAAGGGGGTGACTGATACGAACTGGGTGTGGTAGATATTTCATAATGCAAAATTATATAATCGACATGATAGTGTGATATATGAGGACGCAGAGATTCTAGAAGTATGCCCCCCCCCCCTCCCCTCCCCGCACACCCCCGCGCGCCCACTAACCCCACCCCCCCGACACTAGGGCACCCTCAGCACCGAACTCGGCAAGCTCCGCGAGGCCGGCGTGATCCAGCAAGCCGACAGCGAATTACCGGACCTTGGACCGCTACCGCCCCCCTCTCCCAGTGGCTCACAGGGCTCCCCAGACCCCGAAGAAGACTCGGCCGCAGAGGACGAGGAGGAAGACGAAGAGGACGACGCCCAGGAAGAGGAGGAAGACGATGGCAAGAAGCGCCGTAGCTCCACCAGGAGGCGGACGGGGAAGAATGTCAAGGATGACGACGGCGAGGGCGGAAATGAGAGCGTGAGGAAGGATATGAACGATCCGAGGCGCAAGAGGGGTAGGCCGCCGAGGGTGGATACGCCAATGGAGGTCAGGGTTAAGAATGTGCTGAAGGCGCTGAGGAAGTTGAAGGATGAGGCGTGAGTTTGGTGTTGGAGACCCCCGGGTGGAGGGTGTGTGCTGATGGGTAGTCACAGGTCCGGGAATCTTCGAATTAACGCCTTTGAGAAGCTCCCCGAGAAGAAGGAATTTCCGGAATACTTCCAGGAGATCAAGAACCCCATCGCGCTGGACCTGATCCGCAAGAATGTCAAGCGCCGCGAATACAAGACGTTCGACCAATTCATTGCCGACATGGAGCTGATGTTTGAGAATGCCAAAGCGTTCAATGAGGACGATTCACAGCTCTACCAGGACGCCGTCATGCTGCAGGAAGAGATGCGCAAAGCCGCCGAGATTGAAAAGGCGCGCAAGGACGAGGACATCACTGGCGGTGACGAGGGTGCCGGCGGTGGCGGCAAACAATTGCGTCTCCCGCTCGACCACATCCCGCACAAGGGCGAGAACTACCGTGTCGGCGACTGGATCCACATCATCAATCCCAACGACCCAAACAAACCCACTGTAGGCCAAATCTTCCGCACATGGAAGGACCACGACGGGCAGATCTGGATCAACGCGTGCTGGTACTACCGGCCGGAGCAGACCGTGCACTGGGAGAACAAGAAGTTCTATCCCGACGAGGTTGTCAAGACAGGGCAGTACCGCGATCACCACATTGACGAGGTGCTCGGAAAGTGCTTTGTCATGTTCTTTACCCGCTACTCGCGCGGACGGCCAAAGGGCATTGATCCGAAGCGCACACCGATCTATGTGTGCGAGAGCAGGTACAACGAGGTGGAGAAGCACTTCAACAAGATCAAGACGTGGAAGAGTTGCATCCCGGACGAGGTGCGGGGCCAGGACTACGATCTCGATAGCTTTGAGAAGCAACAGGTGCTTAAGAAGATGCCGAGTCCCATCCTGCATATGCTGCCAGCGGACGCGAAGGAAGACGACCCGTTACCGGAGGCGAAGATGGGCGTGGAGAATGCGCCGCCAATTATCGGTGCAGTGTTTAGAAGGGCACGGAGAGAGAATGTGAGTTTTTCTTTTCTTTTATTTCTTATTTTCACATCTACATAATCTATACTGGCGCCTATATATTGCATTGTGGCGGACGGGATGTCAGTGATGTCTGGATGGATGGTTGCCCAACAGTTTGCTTGCTGCTGCATGAGCTTTTTGCCTCGCTGCCTGCAATTGGCAGAGCATGCGACGACACTCGCTGTCACCACAACAAGCAAACACCGCAACACCCAACATCCATCCATCGTCCTACCCACACACACACAAATATATACACACTCCCCCCCCCCCCACTCTCTCTCTCTTTCTCGTACACTCACTAACAGCAAACAGGACTCCCCCCCACCAGAGCCCACCCCGCCTCCCCCAGCACCTATGCCCACCCCCGCCCCCGCCTCGGAGCGCCCCGCCCGCGTCATAAACCCCGACTACCACGAGACAATGTCAATGACCCAAATGTACAAGCAAGCGCATCTCGCCGCCTCCGTGACCACCCCCGCCGCCGCGGCCTCTCCCGCCCCCCAGCACCAACAGCCTCACGCCCGCTCTCCAATGACCCCCTACGCATCCCACCACTACACCCCCACGCGCCAACACTCTTCCCAAGGCTACCCCTCTGCGCCGCCCCCGCAGCACCAGAACGCGGCCGCGGCAGCCTCTCAGGCGCTCCCGCAGAAACAGTATAACCCCCCTGCGCCCCCGACTACGTTCACGCTCCCCGACAGCGTTACACATAATATTCCTGAAGAGACGGCAGCGCAGTTCTTGCGTGATGGCGAGGGGAAGTTGTTGTGGTTTACGGTGCCGCCATTGGATGCGGTGGAGGGCGCGGGCGCGGGATTGGGCCATTCAGTGGCGTGGTTGGCGAGGAGGAAAGAGATTGAGGAGAGGAAGAGACGGTGGGGAGTGGAGAGAGAGGAGAGGGGAAGGAGGGAGAAAGTGAGGATTGTGGAGGAGAGGGAGAGGCAGAAGGATGTGGCGAAGGAGGTGTTGGTGAGGGCGTTAGATGTCTGGAAGGGACAGATGAGGGCGTCTGTGGGGAAATAGGGTTGTAGTTGTAGTTGGTAGTGTTTCTTTTTCTTTTTCTTTTAGTATTATAAGCAGTATACTATTTCTGTTTTCTTTGGTTTTTCTCTTTCTGTTTTTCTCATAAGCCTTTTTGATTCGCATCATTCGGTGATGATTTTTGAGTGCTTTCTTTTTTACTTCTTTTCTTGGACGAAGGTTATAAAGAAGACGGTGTTGTACTATTAAATAAATGTGCACAGAGCAAGAGAGCGAGAGGACGGTTTTTTTCTTTCCCTGTCTTTTTCGTTTCTCTCTCTCTCTCTTTATTATTACTACTCCTTTATTATGAGGATAATTATTACTACTATATATGAGGATGAATACTACTTTCTTATGAGGATAATTACCATTACTACTTCGTTATGAGGATAATTATTTAACTTCCTAGCTAGTTTGGCAAGGTAGCGCGGGCTTGGCGTTTAGTTTCCTACTATTAAACGCTTGTTGCGGTTAGACCGTGCTACCCTACCCTCCTTACCAACCTACTATTACTACCAACCCAGCCAGCCAGCCACGGTATAGGTGTTATAATACGTTTCAACGATTACGTGGTCGTAACCAATTGAGGATATGCGTTATATAGTCTCGAGAGCTGTAAACTAAGTTCAGCTGCGACAACCCGTTAACCACTCTCTCATTCTCATCCAATCATCCAATTACCCGAGTAACAGAACAAAAGAGCAATAGAGCAAAAGAGCTAGAGAAATCTTCTTCTTGAGACCAATATATACAGATGTCAGTCTGAAAGCGGATGGTGGTGGTGGTGGTGATGATAATAAAAATAGCCCCAGTTCAATCATTTTCACCGCTGATCCACTTTCAGCCATCCCCCAAAACACCGAAACACGCGGCGTAGGAGTATGTAGGTACCGTCTACGTACATGGAGCCGTGACATCTGCATACCGCTGGGTGGGTGGGGTGGTGGGTGTGACTGGATTTGGGTGCTGGAATGTGAAAACCACATTCCGCCCCATGGCTTTCTTGGTTGGTGGTGGATATTAACCCAACCACTTTGTTTGTCATGAGAAGGGTCCCAGCCTCGGTGTTTGCGCCATTCGTATTGTTGGGTGGTGCATAATGGGTGCTCTCCCTCTTTGTTGGTGTTTTTTGGTTCTTCACGCTGATATCTTTGCTACTACAGATACTACTGATCCTACTGCTACTACTGGTACCGCTGCCGCTGCTGCTGCTGTATTATCGTGCAGCTGCTAACCATCAGAGATATCTCACGATGCGGCATTACTACTTCTTCAGTATACTCCTCTTATCAATACCTACCGCCTCAGGGTCACAACCACCCCACCAAGCAACAGCGCTGCTAACTCCCGATCTCTCAACTCTCTACCTCTTCATACCTCCCTCGCCCTCATCCCAAAGCTTTCGCTTCCTCTCCCTACCGCTGAACAACACATACTCCACCTCAAACTTCACCCACTCGTTCACTGAGCTTTCCTCCCCACCACTCCCACCTTCCTCCTCCTCCTCTGACGCCAATGCCATTTCGATAGCGCCAATACTATTCCCAACAGGCCAGCTTGCAGTCTTAACAGGCAGCTGCGACACCGATATCACAATCCACGAATACAGCTCCCACAGCAACACATGGAACCCTCGGTCCATTGCACCGCCGTCAGGCCGTGGGGAACGAAGACCGCTGAGATATCATGCCAGGGCGTTTGCGTATGGCGTTAGCAGCACGACGTCGAGTGTGGCACCGAGTGAGACGTTCATGACGGGGCAGGGCGAGGCCGGGATGCGCGAGTTTGAGCAGGGCGTAGTGATTACTACGTCGACCGTGAATACGGCGTATGTGTTTGGCGGCGTGTGTCCTGCTGCCGGAGGCGGAGTGGAATATTCAGCGGGGATGATGGAGGCGGGATGGCCATTGGCAAGGGCGCAGTCGTATGTGCCGGGTGAACGAAAAGGCAAGGAAAAGGGGAAGGGATCCTCACCGCCGCCGGCACCGGCGGTGCAGGATGGTGAGGCGGTAGCGGCGGCGGGGACGGATACGGTGGTGCTGGCAGAGTATGATGGCCGGAGTAACCGCGAGTGGCCGATAGCTGAAGCAGGCTTCTCGCTCACGACGATACCGACAAGAGAGGGCGGTGGCGGCGGCGCAGGGAGTGTGGTGATGGTGGGCGGATATACGGCGGGTGCGTTTGTGGATATGAGGCAGGTGGCGGTTTACTCCGCACCCGACGGGCGGTGGCGGTTTGCAGATGTTGGGCTGCCGGCAGCGTCACCGCCGAGACTGCGGTCGAGTGAGACGCGGGTGCTGGCCACTGGCTCCGGGTCCGTGGGCGTTGGAGAGACGACAAAGACGGATCCGTCGGCGAGGGTAGCGGCTGTTGTGCAGCGGCGAAACGACGATACACGCCGGATTGACCCACGGTCGGGACACAGTGCGGTGGCAACGCGGGACGGGAAGCGGATCGTTGTGTATGGGGGGTGGGTGGGCGACGCCAATACGCCCGCCGAGCCGCGGCTGGTGATCCTCGAGATGACGGGCGAGGCGGGCAGGGACGAGTGGCGGTGGGACATCCCGTTCATCCACCCGGGCGAGCTGGGCCCGCCGACGGACGGGGAGGCAGAGGGCTTGAGTGGGCATGCGGCGGTGATGCTGGAGGGAGATGTCATGATGATCACCAGCGGGTATCGCATCTCGCCGTTTGTGAATGCGTCGGTGGTTAACACAAAGAGCTACTTTTTCAACGTCACCTCAGGAATGTGGGCAGGCACGTATAAGCCCGCGGGAATCCTTGCGGCGGAAGAGGAAGAGGCGGCGGGGAGAAAATCGGAGCATAAGAGGACCACGGGGATTGTGCTTGGAGTTGTGTTTGGTGTTGCGGGACTTGCGGCGGCGATCATTGGCTATCATTGGTACTTCCGAAAGGGCCGGAGAACCGAGCGCGACGCTGAAGGAGCAGGCCCACTGGAGAGAGAACGATGGGGGTCCTTTGGGTTCTACGGCGGACCGTCTGCGAGTGAAGAGAGACTGGGATCCTTCAACTGCTACGGGACAGAGAAGCCCTCAATGATGGCCGGCAGCACAGAACGACTCGGACTAGGTTCGATATACGGCTCCCGAAGACCGTCCATGAGCCAGGAAAGACTCGGAATTTACGGATCCCACAGAGCATCACTAAGCCAAGAGCGAGTCGGCATCGTCGAAACCCGCAGCCATTCCTACCGCGTCCTCGGTGAAGAAACGGCAGTATCAGAACCTCGGCCCGCCTCTCCTCCCGCCTCCGCCTCTCGCCCCCCTCTCCTCCGAAAAACACCCTACCTCACAACTGCAACTACTACTGCAGTCCCCGGCGTCCGTGTGCCCCCAAAGGCACTCCTGAAAACCAACCCTGCCCGCGTCTCCACAATCTTTGAAGCAGAAGAAAACGCATTCGACCCCAACCGGGGCTCTCGCGGCAGCTCCTGCGCCGCTACAACAGGCTCCGACGACGATCACCACCTGGCGAACCTACAAAGCCTATACACCCGCTCCCTGGCATTCGCGGAGAAGATGGCGGCCCAGGAAATTATATATGAGCAGTCACGCTCACGATCACGCTCTACGACGCTGAGTGGCGAGTGGAGCGACCAGACCGCGTCGCTACCGAGAATCCCGCCGAGAGCGGCACTCAGCTCGGAGAGTCTGAGCTTGGTGCCGACGGCGCCCGTCAGGATCCCGTATAACCGCTCGTTCCCGCCGTCCACGGCGAGGGTTGAGCCAGTGGTGCCGAGGCCGAGGGTGAAGACGTTGTTGACGCCAGCACGGTTCTTTCCGGAGCAGGTTGCGAAGCGGCGAGTTGTGTCATTGGCAGCAAAAGCTGCTGGCGAGCTCGAGCAAGAGAAGGAGAAGCAGCCGCCAAGGCGATGGGCAAGCATATCTGCATTGCGCAGCGCACTACCGGATATATTACCGACGAGCCCGATCTCGCTATGGGAGACGACGGGGAGCAGCAGCCGGTTTTCGCGGAATGCGTCGTCGTCGGCGTCGGCGGGGACGATGGGGACGATGGGGAGTGCGGGGGACGTGGTGGAGATGCCGAGTAATATGGGGTTGGATTCGGCGCTGGGGGTAGGGATGGGGATGGGGTTCTCGAGTTTGGGGGATGACTGGGATTTGGAGCTGGAGGCGGCGATCGAGAAGAGGGTGGTGCAGGTGCTGTTTACGGCGCCGAAGGGCGCGTTGAGGGTTGTGAATCTGGATGAGAGGGTGGTGGCGCCGAGCGTGGATGAGGATGAGGTGGAGGAGAAGGTAAAGGAGGTCGAGGAGGTGGTGGAGGTGAAGATGGAGGTGGAGGTGGAGAAGGTGGAGGATTTTGCGGCGGGGGGGAAGGTCGAGTTGAAGATTGTGATTCCGGCGGTGGAGGAGAAGGTGTTTGAGAGTAGCTCGGCGCCGGAGGATGTGATTGAGGTGGTGCCGGAGAGTATTGGTGAGGGCATCTTGGAGATGATATGCCAGTGAGGGTCTCCCCTCTGTTCTCTTTCTTTTGTTTCTGGACTTGCCTTTTCTTTTCTTGTAGATATTTTTGATGGTGTGTGGTTTGTTGTGGGGCGCAATGGGTGTAGGATTTCATTGTAATTTCTTCTTTTTCTTGAGTGACTTGTATAAGTAGCTTATTCTTAGTTAATGATAAGTTATCAATATCACATCTTCGTATCGTGTTGTGTGTTTGTGGTATTGATTAGAAATTTATGCTCATTATATAACAGGGCCACGGACACAATATTAGCCATAACATCGTAGCAAAAAAAAAAAAAAAAGGAAAAAAGAGGAAGCTAAAATTAACATTACTAAAAAAGCGCCAAGGTCAATGATCACCCACGCCCGAGTGATCCCCCATGACCACCCCAACCCTATCCCATCCTAACCCCCCACCATATTATCATACAACGCCTCCCTTCTCGCCTCCAACCCCGCCAACTCCCTCTCCACCCTCTCCACCTCCACCCTCGCCAAATCCCTCTCCGGCGGCAGCCCCTGGAACCCCTTCACCCTCGCCTCCAAATCCAGCACCCGCTCCTTCAGCGCCAGCACCTCCCTCTCCTTCTCAATCAGCTCCTCCACCGTCACCCCTGCCCTCTCCCCTTCATCCCGAAGGCGCTCCCGATAGTCATCAACCTTCCCCGCCAGGTGCCTGGTCGCACGCCCCCACTCGCCCACCTGCCCCGCTAGCTCGGCTGGCACGACATACTCGCCGCCGTGCGCCAGGCGCGCGATGGCGCCGTTGAGCGTCGCTAGGTCGGTTTCGAGACGGCTGTGCAGCGCGCGCAGGTGCAGGGATTGCTGTGAGAGTGCGTGTTCGTGCTTGCTGAGCGTTATCAGGCGGGTTGCTAGCCTACCACCCGCTCCTGTTAGCTCTCTAGCTCGGGGAGGGAGAGTATGGGGGGGGGGGGGGGGGTAGTACTCAGTCCTCTCCACCCTCTCCGCGCCCACAGCCACCGCCAGCAGCGCCAGCGAATTCAGCGCGCGCACGCCCTCGGCCGTAAGATGCTCCTCGACGGCGGCGAGCACGTTCTCGCTCTCGCCTGCGGAATCGGCATCGCGTTTCTGTAGCGCCTCGAGGGTGTGCTCCTTGACCTTCTTTGCGAGGGCGCGTTCGTCGTCGGCGGCCTCGTTGGCGGCCGCCAGCGCGAGCAGAGCCTTGAGCGTGTCGGGGGTGCGCTCGAAGGGCGGGACGGGGCGCGGGTGGTAGCGTGTGCGCAGCCATTGGTCGGCGTAGGTCCAGTCTTTTGAGGATTGGGAGTGGCGCGTGGCGGTGGGGGAGAAGATTTTGGCGGGGGACCAGATGTCGCGGTAGTCGGCCATGGTGGGTGTGTGTGCTGTGGTGTGGAGGGAGTGTGGCGGGTGATAAGATGGTGGTGGTGGTTGTGGATTAGATTAGATGGAAGTGATAAGATGCGATTAGATGTGCCTCCGAGATTAGATGCCATCTTATCGGGCCTGGGTAAGTTTGTTAAAGGCCACCTGGAACAAACGGAGCTCTTTCTCCTTGCTGCGGCTTTTATATAACGGGCCACCTTTCACTTCTCCGCATTTCACCCACTTTTCTGCTTCTTTGCTCTTCTGCTTCCCCCCCATCTTTCTGCAGGCGTCCTAAGAAGGAGGCAGGCCAGTCCCGTCCAGTCACTCTTTGTGCTCGAGCTACTACTGCATACATACCTCATAACTGGAATTGCTTCTTCTCTGTCCGTCTCGTACACTGCTAGATAATACAGCTTACCTCTCGAGCAGTCCATCTGCAATCTATCGGTCTATCTATCTATCCGTGTTCGTTCCTGCATAAGTACATATAACCTAGCCTATTTACTACTACTGCTATTACCGCCACACCACAAGTAACCCACTCACCGACCACCCACCCACCAACACCCTCGCCTCCCACCGCCGCAATGATAATCCGACTCCACGGGCTCGCCCTCCTGGGCGCCCTCCTCAGCCTCTCCCTCGCCAGCGACACCCCCGACCCCTCCCTCCCCGTCTCGTCGCTCCTCGCCTCCGCCAACGCCCTGCTCGCCCAGGGCGACATGCACGGCGCGCTCGACCACTTCGAGGCCGCCATCAAGAAGGACCCCAGCAACTACCTGACCATCTTCAAGCGCGGCGCCACCTACCTCTCGCTCGGCAAGGCGTCGCAGGCCAGCGCCGACTTTGACGCCGTGCTCGCGCTCAAGCCGGACTTTGAGGGCGCGCTGCTGCAGCGCGCAAAGATAAAGGCGCGCGCGGGCGACTGGGCGGCCGCCAGGAAGGATTATAGGAAGGCGGGGAAGACGGACGAGATCGCGGAGGTGGATGCGGCGGAGGAGGCGCTGGCCAGGGCGTATGCGGCGGAGGGGAAGGGTGAGTGGGAGGAGTGTGTGACGAACGCGGGGTCGGCGGTGGTGGTGGCGAGTGGGATGGCGAGTGTGAGAGCGCTCAGGGCGAGGTGTAGGCTGGAGAGAGGGGAGGTGCATGAAGCTGTTGGTGACCTGACGTAAGTGCTCTCTTTCAGAGGCGACATTGGTTATAGGGGAATTGGAGCTGACTGGCTTTTCTTGTAGGCATCTTGCACAGCTCAATCCTGGCGATACCAAACCGCACCTCCAGATCTCATCGCTCCTATACTTCACTGTCAATGATTTCGACCGCTCCGTCGCACAGCTCCGGAAATGCCTGCACTCCGACCCCGACTCCAAGCCCTGCAGCAAGGCCTTCCGCCGCATAAAGTCCCTCAACAAGTCCCTCGCCTCCATCGAAGCCCTCCGCGCAAAACGCCAACACAACTCCGCCGTCAAGCTCCTCGTCGGCACCCCCGACGACATCGGCCTCATCGCCGAAATCAAGGAGGAGCTCGCAGAGCTCAAGGAAAAGGCCTACATCAACGACAAATGCCCCAACGAGCTCCTCGCCAAGCTCTACGACATCGCCTGCGACTCATACACGGAAATGAACTCGGTCAAGAAGGGCAAGCCCTACTGCGACGAAGCGCTGCGCCTAAACCCATCCTCCATCCCCGGTATCCTCGCCAAGGCCAACCGCCTCCTTGAAGAGGAGCTCTTCGAAGAAGCTATCCGCACGCTCGAGGTCGGGCCCGAGGACGACTCGCGCATCAAGCACAAGCTACAGGAGGCACACACGCTCCTGCGGCGCTCAAAGACAAAGGACTACTACAAGGTCATTGGCGTGTCGCGCGACGCCTCGGACCGCGAGATCAAGAAGGCGTACAGGAAGCTGACGAAGCAGTACCACCCGGATAAGTACCGCGGCGACATGACGGGGGAGGAGGTCGAGAAGAAGATGTCGTCCATCAACGAGGCGTATGAGGTCCTGTCCAACCCGGAGCTGCGGGAGCGCTTCGATAACGGCGATGACCCGAACAGCCAGGAGAGGTCGAACCCGTTTGCCCAGGGCCATCCGTTCATGTACCGTCAAGGCCACGGTGGTGGGTTCCCGGGTGGTGGTAGCCCATTTGGACAGGGATTCCCGGGGGGGAGCGGGGGGTTTAAGTTTCAGTTTTAGGCGTGAATTGTATCATTTCTTGTGCCCTTTTCTCTCTACAGCTCTTTAGTGTGGGAATTGTGTTTTCTTGTCCTTTTCAATCGCGGGAGGAGTCGTGGTAATGTGTTTTTTGCCGATTGTGTTTTGCGACCTATGCGTAGTGACATGTAGTTACACATGCATGTAGTTGGTTACCCAGTATAGTCTTATAAAGCGAGGAGGTGGCTGGTGCTCATCTAGCTGGTGGGTGGTCTGGATCCGCTGCAATCAATTCTTCACTTTGTGCACGTTGGTGATAGTCAACTCAAATCGGTTAATATATTGGTCTTGCCATTGTGGTATACGTATCTACCAGGTTCTAGTTAGCTAGCCATTGTTATGGTGATGGTGGTGCGAGTGGAAAGATATATTACCTTGCTGTAGCTTAAAAAGAGATGAAAGAGCGAAAGAAGCATCGCAAAGGAAAGGACGGAAGAAAGATTGACAATTCACCTGGTTAGACCTAGATAGAGCCACCTTCTCTCCTTCTTACCGTCTTCACAGACTCTCCGCACTTCATCTCCAAACCAGCTCCCACAATCTTCGACATGAGAAGCCATCTCGCCCTTGGCATGGTGCGAGTGATACTCAATGATTAAAGTTACAATATAGACCTACAGATCTTACTACGACATCAATTCGTTAGCAAGAAGAGAATCTATCCTTGCCATCATTGTACAACCTGGGGATTCCACGTATCCCTTAGACAGTCAGGCCAGATGTAAATGGGGACGCATATGTAGCAGGTATTATATTGTGAACCCTATGACTGGAGGTGTTTGGTACCGCTTGCCACGATCTGATAATCATCTCACCTTGATAGTATGAGTTTTTGGAGCGTTCAACATATCATACCTGCTGTATGCGGCTAGTGATCCCCATTCACATCCGGCCTGACCGTCTAAGGGATATATATATATGACTCGTTGATAAGGTCTTGGCACTCGAGTGATGGGTCATGATGCCAATAATGGACACGTCCAGTCAAGTCGTAGTGTCCTTCTTGGCACGAACCAACAACGTCGCTCGAGTCCTTTCTCTTCTTCTTGGTATCATCATGAGTAGTCGTGCTAGCTCTTCTCTTTGTTGGGGGAAGTGGTGTTGTTGTCTGCCACTTGTTGTGAGCGAGCGCTTGCTTGCTTCCGTCTTTGTGAGGGGACAATCTTACCTCTCCTCCTTCTTTACAAGAAGAGGTTGTAATCAACTCTTCTCCTAACTTAAAGGGAGCTGTCCCTCTCTCAGTACGAAAGGTGTAGTTTCATCTTTACCCCCCCTCCCACATGGGGTTCGAAGGGATTTCATCATCTACGCCCTTGCATGAACGGGTGGATGGCTCTTTTTCTGTACCCCCGCCAACAAGAGGAGGCGAAATTCGGAATTCCGACCCTCTTGGGTCTTAAGCACTCCCGAGGACCTAATAGGGGCACCCTCCATTCGGAGAGGTTTTGTGGTCCTTTCTTGCTCCTCTCCTTGTGATGGGAGTGGTGCTGTCTTGCTTGTTCCCTCGCTCCTCGTGAAAAACTGTTTCCGTAGTCGGAATACTCAGCACTAGGTGATATTCATTCTAGATCTACGATTAGCGAAGTTATATCAAGCAGAATCTATAAATGTCTCCAATCCTCCAGAACGTACTGCAGATTTGTCTTTGTATCTCCTACTCCCGTTGAACCCGGGACCCTCTGAAGCCTAGGAGCAACCAGGTGGTGTCTTGTCTGACGAGCTGTCCAGTTAATATTAATTTCTTAGCATGAAATGATATTTAGGTGCCAAGGATAGCTGGAGGTGACTGACCTGGTTGGGCAACGAGAGTTGACTGGACCGGGCTCGCACATAAAGAACTCTAAGCCTATCCACCACCAAATCTTGACGGGGATTCTGATCTGATACACTGTTTGTTTACCAGCATAAGATCAATTAGGAAATGAGTGAATTATCTGTATGGCAGAACGAAGATACTCCGTACAAATAATCCTTGACTTTGTCACTCGGATTTTCTGGTTCTTTTGTGGGCGAGTGAGTATACATAGTGTGGCCTTACTAGAAACATGTATGTAAGGTGGTCTTATAATTAGTAACGGTGTCCATAGTCTAGACGTGCCCCCTTTATGTAGAAGTACATGTAGATATGATAGGCTTTTATCCTCCTTCATGTAATACGAGATACGTACCGGCCCCAAGGCGACCCTCTCGTGGGCTATCGTATAATAAGTACCAAAGGCTTAAGGTGGCCAGCACTTACTAGAATTCTAGCTAGTATCACCACATGCACAACGAGCCAGAGCCAACTGTATTTACCTACGCGGTTGCAGTATGTGGCCCGTGAGTCTTGTCAGTAGGACGTAGGGGCGTTTGGGAATTCTGCAAGTCGAGCAGAGCCTCGTTACACCAACGAACAGGCCGAGCTGACTCGGGGTCTTTTCATCGGCTCGGGCAAAAATTAATTTGGTGTCCTGAGTGAGGTTTGGTGAGGCTATCTAAATTAAACTATTCGGACCCTTAACATTCCCTGTTAACCTTTAACCCAAACAGGTTAATTTATACGAGCGACTCGGAGACAAACTCAACCCGAACCGTTCATAATCACGCGGCTTTTGTGTTCTCTAGATTGACCCACATCTACCGTTTCTCCAAAACCAATCTGCTAGCTTGATCTCTTCAAACTTTAGTCTAGAGCGAGGCGGTCAGTTTAACCTTGTGGCCCCTGGCTAGACCTCAGGCGACTGATGTATTGGGCAATAACATGTCATAGTTGATCTGATTCTTCAACAATCTAAGGTAACACTACTCTACACAAATAGAGCACCTCCATGTACCTGGGTACTCTACTCTATCGACTGCATAGAGCACCTGCAGAATCCAGAGCGCCCCAGACAGATGCTCGAGATCTAGCACCGGAATTTTCCGACGTCCATTTATGATATCACTTTTTGAGAAGATAATCATTCCACACACCCCGAGAGCTGCAAAACGTGTTATTCGGGCCGTTGTTGTCTTTCCCTATCAGGCTGCACTTTACTAGGTCAGAGCTTTGACCGTATTTTAGGTCAGAACCGGAGTCAGGTCTGGAGCGGTGAGTCCCGGTACATTGCGTCATGAAATATCACTCACTGGATGTGAACATTGGAACGATACCGGCCCGCCCGAGTTCGCGGCTGGGTCCTAATATATAGGATATCTCTTTTCACGAAACAGCTTGACTTCTGGCAATAATAGTGTTAATGTCATTTATACAGAGTACCCCCCCCCTCAAAGTGTCCTATAACTAGAGCATCTAAATAATATTCAATATATTTAAACCTAAAAGCCACTTTGCAATTTGACCTATAAAATTTATTAATACCAAGTAAAATGAACCCGACATCTGACACAATGCATCGATTCACAACCGCCGTCTTTTTGAATCCTGACTCTGCACTTTGGGTTTGGGCAAAGTCTTGTATACTGATCAAGATATTTTTGACTCAGCGTCTCGATTGCTTTCTGTGCCTCTATTGCCTTTCGAGCCTCTGTTGCCTTCTGGGCCTCGATTACCCTTTGAGCCTCGATTGCCTTTTGAGCCTCGATTGCCCTTTGAGCCACTATTGCCTTCTGAGTTTCAATTGCCTTCTGAGTTTTAATTGCCTTCTGAGTCTTGATTGCCTTTTGAGCCTCGATTGCTTTCCGCACCTCTGTTGCCCTTTGAGCCTCGATTGCCCTTCGAGCCTCGATTGCCCTTTGAGCCACTATTGCCTTCTGAGTTTCAATTGCCTCCTGGATTTCAATTGCCTTCTGAGTCTCGATTGCCTTTTGAGCATCGATTGCTTTCCGCACCTCTGTTGCCTTTTGAGCCTCGATTGTCTTCTGAGTTTCAATTGCTTTCTGTGCCTTGATTGCTTTTCGTGTCTCTACTCTCCATGCCTGGATTGTGTTCCGTTCCTTGATTTTCAGCTCCTCGATCGCTAATTTCCGTTCGCCGAGTGCTTTCTGTGTCTCGAGTGCTTTCTGTGCCTCGAGTGCTATCTGCGCTTCAATTGCTTTCCTTGTTTTTATTTCTTTTTTCTTCGCCTCGATTTTGCTCTGAACAAACGCACTATAAACGGCGAGAGCTAATGTAAATATAAGAACCGTGAAAATTGAATGAACTAATATAGTTAGTCGAAATCATGGGAATGATAGATTAAAGGTGACTACCTACCGATGATACTCACCCATGACCAAGAATTCGAAGATGGGACCGGATGTCTTGGTGACCTACACATGAGGAGAGATCTTGTGGATAGAGATGAGGTTGTGCTGGTAATTTGGTGTGGACAAAAATGCAAAGGTCCAGAGATTATCGTCTTGATTTGGGGTATCTATTTGCCAACAAGGACTTTTCCTGGGTGTATACATCTATGCGTGGGGTGCGGGAAGATATATGTACTAGGTACAAAGGAGATTGATAATTTATACCGAAAAAGAATTTCCCTTATATCTATGATTCCAAGGCAGCCGATTATTTTCTTAAAGAAGCAAAAATGTCGCAATTGCGCAAGTATAGACGCCAGGATTAGTTGTAAAAGAAAACCTTTGTCTAAACCTTAACTAGGTCTTCTACAGGCCCCGCAGACGAAAGAGAAATATCATTGGATGTTATCAAAAGTGAGATTCTAGAAGATCGGTGATGGCTTCAGTAATATCCAGGGTTGACGAGATCCCTTCCGACAGTGAGCTCCAGCCGAGTGACATCTCAAGATTCCATCTTGCTTACGTAAGTGTCTAGCGCCAAAGCACATGACCCACCGACCTCACCCCGCCAGAACGCGACAAACCAGCAGTTACACCGACCACAGACCAGCTCAAAATGGAAGGAAATCGCATGCGAAAGATCGAGGTCCAGAGCCCAGAAGATATCAGATACCTCTTCGACAATCTTTGCCGAGCAGCCAAGGAGAAAATCGACCAGCACCTACCCCCAGGAGCTGCCGACCGTGATGATGAGCTGCGGAAACGCGTCGAGGAGATGCTCACGGAGGTCCGGTATTGCCCAAACCATGCCCGGTGGCTCTCTTTTTTCTGACTGTACTGGTCAAGCTAACGTGTGGGGAATTCTTGGTGCGAGCAGTATGTGCGCCGGACATTCGAGCACGCTGTACGTAACATCTCGGTGAACGGCATGGACGCGGGCCCAATAGAGACCTACATTTCTAAAAATGAGATGGAAGAACTTGAACCCTACGACCGAAAACTACATACTCGCTTCACCACACTTCAAGCCCAGCTAGACGAAGAGACGGAGAAGTTGGCAAAGCTGCGCCGAGAGGCGCCCTTCGATGCCGCTAAAGCATATGAGGATGCGCTGAAGAGGGAGCTCGAGGGAGACGAGAGGATAATACAATCGTTGGCGAACGAAGATATCACGGATGCGGAAGCAGGAAGCCTGGGGATCAGGCCGCTGGAAAGGAAAGAGGACATCGAGGAGGACTATGCAAGAACTGCAGAGATCCTGAAAGCGCTGCAGACGGTAAGTCATTCTACTTCCTTTGGTAAGACTTTTCCAGGAAAAGGGCTAACGATATTTTTAGAGCCTGCCAGCTACAGCTCATAAACTTACTCGTGCTAACGATGCTCTTGACTATGTCCAGTCAAAGAAGTAAAAGGATTGTGGCGTTTCTTTTCGGTTTTGTATTACTAACGGATATACGAATCTTTTTTTAATATGGGCGTATTTCGGTAATGGATACCATGTTTTATGAATCATTGAATACCTTTAAAGCACATTAGTCCCGTTCCAACCTATTTTGGTATTTACAGACGAGACTAAGACTCCGTACCCTCTCTGATTCAAGTGCACGCATTGTCCTGCAAGTCTCTTTAGGATCTCTTAAAATCCCTATATAAAAGATCTACACGAGTGCCTTCCTGAGATTATTATACACACAAGCGGGCCAGGGTCTTAAAAATATAACCCAAGTAGGACGTATGACGATTCACACTTCCCATTCGTTGCCGATTTGTATTCTTGGCATATCGTCGGTAGAATGGGACGAATTGGCTCCTCTTCAAGAAGTAGAACGGGCACAAAAATGAATGATCGAGTGTAACCAACTTCAAGACACCCAGCCAGTGCTATCCTCAGTACAGGAAAGAGTGACATAACTCGTATCATTGGTTGTAGGGAATTTTGTTAGAGTGCCACATGTTGCCGAAGTTTCGCTACTTCTGTTTTTGTAATGCTAGTCCGGACCAACTTCCATGTAATTATATTGCGAATCTCAAACCTTAAAATGATTGCCTACTTAGGAAATCCGTGTTTCCTAAATGGGCATCTTCCATTAAAGTTTCGAAAACAATTGCCTGACAGATAGATTGAGGTCGCCTAAATAAGCAATGAATTTAAGCTTTTGAGAATCGCACTACATGTGTGTAAAAGTTTGCGCGGTCAAGTATTATGAAAACAACTGCAACGGCGCCATCCTTCCGACCTACATATGCAATGCAAACATGCGGATAGACACGTCCCGGGAATGTCGTTCTCCAAAACGACACGTTGAAAGACGGACATGTAGGGTAAACATCCCATGCCGCTAATGGCTTGTCAACTCCATCCCATTTCATCATTTTCTGTATCTCCCACCCTACTAGATTCGAACGACGGATGGAAAACCCAACAAACCAATCGATCGAACAAGCGGCCTATAACACGACATGCAATTGTGCCTGAATTCACATCTTAAACGCGAGATGATATCAAGCCTGCATGTCCACAAGGATGGTAACTACATAATCCCAATCCACCCCATAACATTTTCCAGGTATGCAAATACGTCATGGGGCTTAAGCTTGCAGAAGCCATCGATATCAGCTCACGAGCTTTTAGAGGGCCGGAGCTCCTTTATTCAATTGCAACCGGTATCCCTTAGTTCAAGTCCTAAGAATTTACCGGCTATGACTAATTCCAAAAAAGCCACAGGATCTTCTTGGACCTTTGCCGCCGTAATTGATCCAGCACATCATACATTATCACCCGGCCGGCCGATTCATGCTCAGTCCTCAGGAGCGAGCAGCAATTGTATTACCGACACCCACTCTGCTACATAGCCCGACCTGCGTCAAAGCTTGTCGCTTAATACTCTGGAGTAACTATACATATGCGCAGCCGCGGGCTGCAAAGTAGCGTAGCTACAGCTTCAAAAGTCAACCGCACCCTACAATATCTACCCAGATTTACCTTCGTCCGGATCTAAATTCAACCCCGCCCTCCTCCCCACACAGCCCACCATGTAGAGTCCCTACATCACGTCACTAAGCTTTCTCGATGTAGCGGAACGAACAACAACACCAAGATTGGCTGCAGTCTACAGGGTACTCTGCCTAGGTACGTGCATACATCCATACCTCACATCCTCAGGCACGAGACAACGCATGAGTGCCAGATCCAGGTGCAGCACATGACATGACAGGGTAAACTACAGGGTAAACTACAGAGATAGATGGTTTATCAAAAAAACGCGTAGCCGCAATTAACTCAGAGGAATTTATTCCTTTTCTTTTACAGACTAGACCTAAAACCGGGGGGGGGGGGGGGGGACACCATGAGGCCCTTGCTTTGGGAGAGAACAAAGACAAGGGTAAGGAAGAACAAGGCTCGATAGAATATCGAGACGGACTTGAGAAGAGATGGGTGAAAAGCAATATACTTACATACAAAAACGTTACCCGCGACTAGAGTACGGCGGAACAAAATTGTATCAAAAGCAAGCAACAGCAAGAGAGGAAAAAAGAAAGAGAAAAAAAGAAATCTGCCTTAATCCCTTGGGTTGAAGACAAGGATAGAAAGGCAGAACGAAGAATTGAAAACAGGGCCCGTCAATTAATTGGTGGGAAAGAAAAGAAAAGCAAGGATGCAGGAATCCAAAGGACATACAGATAGGTACATGTACTCCAGAACATCAGTGTGCATGAAAAAAGGAACTAAAGAAAAAGAAGAAATGAGCCCCCCAGGAAACAGAAGAAGCGGAAAGAAAAACAAGCAGAAGGAAAAATAGCAGAGCTCCCAAAAAGTCAAAACCGAATCAAGCCAAAGTAAAAACCAGTCCTTCGATCCCAAGTCCTATCGTATTCACAGCTAAACCATGCCACCCATGCCATCCGGTTCCCTCACCATACGTAGGAAAAAAAAGAAACAAGCAAACAAATTCACAAACTCCAAATGTGTTGATATGACATTAGAAAAAATGAAACAAAAACGCAAAAACACAAAACGACGATCCGGGCGTCAGTGCAAAGGTAAGATCATTAAATAGATCCGTACCATCCCAAATGAAAATAAATAAATAAAAAGGACCCGTAAAACAAACTCCTACTCGCTTCCCCCACAAAAGCAACTCAAGTCATACCGAAAAAAAAGACCCTTTCCCCCACTACTCCTTACCAAGAAGGGAAAACACTGTCAGACTCCTCCTCCGTGAGGATAATCTCGTGCACCGTCTCGGGCTTCTGGATCCCATTGTGGATCGTGATATCAGACGACGACGGCAAGAAGATATCTATCAATCGCCAAAACCACACTAGTCAGCATTCCGCTTTTTTACTCGCCAGGATAGCTAGCTACATGTAACGACCCACAACCCGACTAGCCAATCTCGCCATCCAGCTTGATAGCTAGATAGCTAGCTTGTAGCTATAGGCCAGGCCCCACCAACGAAAAAACAAGCCAAACATAAAAGCAGGAAAGGAAAAGGGACAGAAAAAAGAACGGACCTTGATTCCAATCGAAACCCTGAGATGTCTTGACGCATGTTATCTATTCCCCACCGCGACCAAGAATTAGCCGACGAACCACGCACACACGCACACACACTACGTAACGCCTAGCCCTAGCGAGTCTGTATGGGGAAACAAGAATGCGGGGAGAGCAGGAGGCAATAGATTATGTAGCGAAAGATATATAAAAGGACAGCTTGTTTTAAACGGAGAGTCAGTTTCTTACCAGTCGCGGAGATCCATCCCGAACACCCAGATCAAACACCGAGTGCTCAACGCGGCTGACTGAAGAGCCTACAAATAATACCAACAGCATTTTATCAGCATACGACACTTTTAATTTCAGAGAGAGTTAGAGAGGCAAATTCAAGACATACTCAGCAGTGATGGTCGCTTCCTGTGGTACATCATCCCCGAGCTAGACGAGCTAGACGACGAGCTAGACGACGAGGAGGAGGATGAGGAGGAGGAAGACGAGAGGCGTGTGGGCGAAGTGGGGCCAGACGAAGACGCA